GCAATTTCTTAAAATAAGACAACAATGAAGTTTGCCGCATCGATTGACTCTTCCTTTCATGAAAGATTTCTCTGTAGCATGAGATGCTGTTTGATAGCATTTTACCCGCAGTAGAACTTCTTTCAAAATTGGAGTCAATCCTCTCAAACCCTGCCACTGCTTCATCAACTAAGTTTATGTAATATTCTAAATCCTTTGTTGTCATTTCAACAGTGTTCACAGCATCTTCACCAGGAGCAGTTTCCATCTCAAGAAACCACTTTCTTTGCTCATCCATAAGCAACTCCTCATCCATTAAAGTTTTGTCATGAGATTGCAGCAATTCAGTCACATCTTCAGGCTCCACTTCTAATTCTAGTTCTCTTGCTATTTCCACCACATCTGCAGTTACTTCCTCCACTGAAGTCTTGAACCCCTCAAAGTCATCCATGAGGGTTGGAATCAACTTCTTCCAAACTCCTGTTAATGTTGATATTTTGACCTCCTCCCATGAATCACGAATGTTCTTAATGGCATCTAGAATGGTGAATCCTTTCCAGAAGGTTTTCAATTTACTTTGCCCAGATCCATCAGAGGAATCACTATCTATGGCAGCTATAGCCTTACGAAATGTATTTCTTAAATAATAAGACTTGAAAGTCGAAATTACTCCTTGATCCATGGGCTGCAGAATGGATGTTGTGTTAGCAGGCATGAAAACAACATTAATCTCGTTGTACATCTCCATCAGAGCTCTTGGGTGACCAGGTGCATTGTCAATGAGCAGTAATATTTTGAAAGGAATCTTTTTTTCTGAGCAGTAGGTCTCAACAGTGGGCTTAAAATATTCAGTAAACCATGTTGTAAACAGATGTGCTGTCATCCAGGCTTTGTTGTTCCATTTATAGAGCACAGGCAGAGTAGATTTAGCATAATTCTTAAGGGCCCTAGGATTTTCGGAATGGTAAATGAGCATTGGCTTCAACTTAAAGTCACCAGCTGCATTAGCCCCTAACAAGAGAGTCAGCCTGTCCTTTGAAGCTTTGAAGCCAGGCATTGACTTCTCCTCTCTAGCTATGAAAGTCCTAGATGGCATCTTCTTCCAATATAAGGCTGTTTCGTCTACATTGAAAATCTGTTGTTTAGTGTAGCCACCTTCATCAATTATCTTAGCTAGATCTTCTGGATAACTTGCTGCAGCTTCTACATCAGCACTTGCTGCTTCACCTTGCACTTTTATGTTATGGAGACGGCTTCTTTCCTTAAACCTCATGAACCAACCTCTGCTAGCTTCAAACTTTTCTTCTGCAGCTTCCTCACCTCTCTCGGCCTTCATAGAATTGAAGAGAGTTAGGGCCTTGCTCTGGATTAGGCTTTGGCTTAAGGGAATGTTGTGGCTGGTTTGATCTTCTATCCAGACCACTAAAACTTTCTCCATATCAGCAATAAGGCTGTTTCGCTTTCTTATCATTCGTGTGTTCACTGGAGTAGCACTTTTAATTTCCTTCAAGAACTTTTCCTTTGCATTCACAACTTGGCTAACTGTTTGGCGCAAGAGGCCTAGCTTTCGGCCTATCTCGGCTTTCGACATGCCTTCCTCACTAAGCTTAATCATTTCTAGCTTTTGATTTAAAGTGAGAGACGTGCGACTCTTCCTTTCACTTGAACACTTAGAGGCCATTGTAGGGTTATTAATTGGCCTAATTTCAATATTGTTGTGTCTCAGGGAATAGGGAGGCCCGAGGAGAGGGAGAGAGACGGGGGAACGGCCGGTCGGTGGAGCAGTCAGAACACACACAACATTTATCGATTAAGTTCGCCGTCTTATATGGGCGCGGTTCGTGGCGCCCCAAAACAATTACAATAGTAACATCAAAGATCACAGATCACCATAACAAATATAATAATAATGAAAAAGTTTGAAATATTGCGAGAATTACCAAAATGTGACACAGAGACACGAAGTGAGCAAATGCTGTTGGAAAAATGGCGCCGATGGAAAAATGGCGCCGATAGACTTGCTCGACGCAGGGTTGCCACAAACCTTCAATTTGTAAAAAACGCAATATCTGCGAAGCGCAATAAAGCAAAGTGCAATAAAACGAGGTATGCCTGTATAGGTGAACAATAAATAAGCCACAAATAAATACAAATAAACAACAGGTGAAATAATAGCAAAAAGGGGTCCCAGCAGAGTCCTAGGACTGTACTCATCTACTAATTTACAAACACGAGAGTTCACAAAATACCAGGCATGACATCACACCACTTATGGCATGAGAACCTCAAAGATGAACTTAATCCCAAGGGGAAGCCCCAGTGCCCTTGGGCTTTTCCCCAAGCTCTTCAAGGAAACTGGTAACTTTAGGGGGGCCCTCCCAGTGGGACCTCCACTTTCAGAAGCCCTTAACTAACCAGGGGGGACTCCCCCTCCCCTGTGAGAATCCTTTTTCTCAGCAGCTCAAGGCTTCCAGGCCTGGAGGAAGGTCCTAGTCCTCTGCGCCAAGCTGCTCTCTCACCTGCAGTGGGCTTCGGGGGGTCACTGTCCCCTGGAACAGGGCTCTGCTATGCAGGGCGTCTGGGGCCTCTGGCTTGGCCCTGTCTGCTGGTTCAGTAGCTCGAGTACTGTCTGGCTCCATGGACTCCCTTTCTGATATGGGTCGGAGGCCCGGGCCACCTCGTGCAGCATCAGGCTTCATCCACTCCCAGACCCTCCGTGCAGCGCCTCCTGCACTGAGGTCTCAGCCTTGTTCTGAGGGTTGAAGACCTGAGCTGCCCAAGTGCTCCAAAGGTCCTATTCCATGCACCAGCCTGTGCACTGTGTCTCTGGCGGCACGCCAGAGGTTGCAGACCCGAGCTGCCTCATGCAGTTCCCAGGATCTGGACACTGTGTGCCGTGCTGCACACCGAGACCCTAGCTGCTGGAGCCGTCTGCCATTCCCTGCTGATAGAAGTCTTCAGGGGCTCTTCCTGGGCTACTGCTTCACCCTGCTGAGCAGCTCTCCTCAGCTCTTCTAAGCCCCACTCTTCTCTCTTCTCTGTCCCGGATGTGTTCCCTCATGCTGGGCACGCAGCTCCTCTTATACTGTCCAGGGCCCCGCCCCTGAAGTCTTCTGGACCTGAGTGTTGCAGTCTTTAATCAGGTCCAGGGAGGAGGAATTCCTCTCCCCTTCTCCTCAGGGAAGGGGCGTAACTTAACTCCTCTTGCTGCCTCCTGATTGGTGGATGGGCTCCACCAATCAAAACAGCAAGATTTCAAGCCTGGGACTGAACCCAAGCTCCAAAAGACAAGCCTGCTGCATAGAGATTCCATTGGGCCACAGACCAGTGACAGAGCCCCCTGCATGGTGATACACACTTGATTAGATATGAGGTAGCACTGTTCTTCCCCTTCCGTCCATCAGTGCTTTGCAGCCAGCCTCCTTCCTATTATGGAGCTTCACTTTTTAAAATGGGTTTTACAGACAGGCATTTTTAGCTTTTTAGGGTGCCTGTAGACATGCAGGGATGCTGCTCTGATGTGCTGTAATTATAATGCATCAGAGCAGGCTCAATTTTAATAGAGTCTGCTGGAGCATGCTAATTAGTACGCTCCAGCAGCCTCCGCGTCTCATATATTCAGTGCCCCCCCTGCTTCAAAATGGTTGTGGGAGTGCTTTAACTAAATATCTTCGAATGAACTTTAAGTGAAGTGTTCACACCACCATTTTAAAGTGCAAGACACTGAATACACAAGATGCCACAGGCACTTTTCGAGTGGCTCTCGGTGCCGCTCTAATTAAAGCACTCCCCACCGCACCTCCAGAGCATGTGTAAAGATGCCTCCCCCTTTTTTTTTCTTTTACAGGCAGTCGGCAACCTTGTCCACAACTCTTCTTTGACTGATCTGAGGGTCATTTTGGCATCCAGAGGACCCAAAGTTGGATGGTAGAATTATGATTTAGGAAAGCATTTCCCTCTGCCTCTGCTTAGCTGCACTAATGCACCATAGGTACAATTGATAATCTAAGTCCTTGATGCAGAGGTCTTAAGTGAATCTTGCTAATTATAGGTGGGACTGTAGGTACCATTTTGTTCCAAAACTTTCACAGATGAAAAATTCACTGTTTCTCCACCATCCCAGACAGAATCATATCTAGACATTTTTGAAAATTCCCACTGATAAAGAGATTCCACAACTTCCCTAGGCAGCTTGTTCTATTGTCTTACTGTTCTCAGTTCTCCTACTACTAGTTTTTCCTGAGGTTTGATCTAAGCCTGCTTTGCTGTAGTTTTAAACGCATTTCCTCATGCCCTGGAAAGAACAGTTTTTCTCCACCTTCTTAATGGCAACCATTCACTCAGAAACACAACTATCATGGTCTGCCTCCCTCCCTGCTCCCCCCAAACTCCTTTTCTCCAGTTAGGCATACCTACCTCTATCAACCTTTCCTCTCATGGTCTGTATTCCAAACCCTTTACCATATTCATTGCTTCCTTTGAATACTCTCCAGTTTACCTACATTATTTTCAAGATGTGGTGTCTAAAACTGGATATAGAACTCTAGCTGTCCACCAAAGTGCTGAAACCCCCTCTTCATTTTTTGTGATTTGCAAATTTGATCAGTATATTCTTCATCTCTAAGTCCTCAATAAAAATGTGAAACAGCACTAGATCCAGAATCCACATGAGACATCCTGTCAATCTGACATTAATCCATTTGTAGATATTCTTTGCTAGCAGTTATTCAACAAATTGTATATTTTCCTAATAGGAATTCTGTCTACCCCACATGTCATCAGTTTACTTATGAGAATGTTATGTGTGATTTGATTCTAAGGACTTACTAATGCACAGGTATACTTTGCCCACCATGCTCCACTTATGCAACAAACTACAAAAGAAGGAAATCAAGTTAGTGTGACATGATTTGTTTGCAACCATTCTATATTAGCTTCTGGTGGCATCCTGTACCCTCCAGATGTTTACAAATTGAATATTTCATAATTCTCTCTAGTAACTACTAAGGTATTACAGTTAGGTTGACTGGTATGTAGTTCTATGAGTTCACCTGTCGTCTATGAATTTTCTAATATTATTGCCAGTGGCTCTAGGAGCGTTTTTTAAGCTAATTTCTTTACAACCTTATGGTGAATTCCATCAGGCCTGTTTGACTTAAAGAATTTGTGACTAATGAATTGGGTTTCCTTGTCTTTTTATCATACTTTACAGCCTTTTTCCTGCTCACAGTTTGGGTGTTTTGGGGAAGACTGAAGCAATTTTATATATTAAGTAGTTTGACCTTCTTTACATCTTCCATTAGTAGCCTTTCTTCATTAAGCAGCACAGGTTTACTTTTCTTTTCCATGAAACACATTTATAAAACTCCTTCCTGATATCTTTTAATAGGGCTGTGCGAAGCTTCAGTAGTTGATTTGATTGGGAGGAGATTCGGCTCGATTTGGAGACCAAATTTCCAAATCCATATCAAATTGGGAGACCAAGTTAAAGCTCCGAATAGATTTGAATCACCCAAATCGATCTGGAAAAGCTTTGGCAAAGATTCAGTTGATTCAGCGATTCAGCCATTGATTAAACAGGCAGCTGATAGCTGCCTCCAGCTGGTAAGAGTGGGGTTGGGACTGGAGGTTGGGGGGTGCAGGATGTGGTCGCAGCAGTGCTGGGAGCAGGGGCTCTACCCTGCTGCTGCTGCTTGCCCAGCCGGGGCGGGAGGAAGGCAGAATGCAGGTGTGGATCAATCCAGGCAGAAAGGGACAAGCGGAAGCAGGGCATAGCCCCCACTTCCAGTACTGCTGTGCCGTCATCCCGCACCCCTCACACTGGCTGGCTGGCTGGCAAGCAGCAAGCAGCAGCAGGGCAGAGCCCCCACTCCCAGTACTGATATGGGTGCAGCAGTCTTGGACTGCATCGTGGCCCCCCCATGCCAGCTGGGGAAGTGGCAGCAGGGTATAGCCCTGCGGCTCCTCCCGCTGGGGTGGAGGAAGGCACAGCTTGAGGAGCTGCAGGAGAAGCCCCCATGACTGCCCTGCCCAGCCCCATCCCCTGCCCAGCCCAGCCTCTCAGCAGTTTAAAAAAAAAAAAAAAAAAAAAGCTCCACACTCACTGGCTGCAGAAGTAGAGACTGGAGCCTCTGGGCACTCATGGCAAAGCACCCCCATGAGGCACAGGGCAGTGGAGATTGCTGCCCCCACCAGGCACCTGCACGGCAGCTGTCACATCATGCAGGTGCAACATGGCTTGGCAGGGCACTGTATGCTTTCTGGGAGCTGGGGCGGCTCCAGCAGTCACCCAGAGCCTGGCACCACTCAGCCTCACCAGCCCCAGCTCCCAGGCATTGCGTGGCACCGTCGAGATGTGCTGCACCCGCACCATGGGGCAACTGCCATGTGGGTGCCAGGCAGGGGGGGCAATCCCCACTCCCACCCAGAAAGAGGTAGGCACAGCTGGAGAAGTCATGGGAAAACCTGCATCCGTCCGGCTGTGCCTACCTCTCCCTGGCCGATCTGAATCACTGAATCTCTCCAAATCAGCGCCAAATCTTCTGAAGCTGATTCTGCTGAATTGATAAAGGGCAGTCATCAAATCACTGTCCTCCAAATAGGCCAAATCCAAATCCAAATTGAATATTTCCTTATTCGCACAGGCCTAGTCTTTAACATATCCAGCTGTTGAAGTTCTTT